CCAGCTCGGCGTACGTCCTGCCGCGCGGCTCGGGCAGGCGGAAGTACGACCATACGAAGCACAGGAAACAGCTGGCGGCCCAGAAGAAGCCGCTCTTGGCGCCCCAGTTCCACGCCGAGGGGTTCAGCATGTTGGGCGTGAGGATGTTTGTGACGATGCCCGTGACGTTGTAGAGGTTGCGCGCGAGAACGACCGTCTTGGTCTTGAGGCGCGTGGAGCTCAGCTCTGCGACGAGGGAGTAGCAGACGGGGCCGACGGTGCAGTCATAGAAGAAGGTGTACACGAGCAGCAGGCTGCCTATGGCCCACTGCGCTCCAATGTTGGAGCGCCCTGCGAGCGAAGCGAAGCCGATGGTCGCGAGGATGATGGTCATGGCGAGCTGGCCGCCGAGGTACAGCGTGCGACGGCCGAAGTGCTTCATCAGAACCCACGAGAGGATCGTACCGACGGCGCCGATGGCGTACTGGCCCAGGGACATGCTGAAGGAGTTCTCGACGGCCATGCCGGCTTGCTGGAAGAAGTAGGTGGAGAAGCCCATGAACGTGGCGCCGCAGAGCGTCTGGACGGTCCAGGTGCCGCAGACGATTTCGGTACGGCGGAGGTCGACGCCCTTGAAGCAGTCGGCATAAGTAGTACCGGCCTGGACCGCCTTTTCCATCTCGTTGGTGTGCACCATCATAGAGATGGTCTCGTCGGGGTTGAAGTTTTGCTGCGAGTTGCGGGAGGTGAGGCGGAGGAGGGCTGCTTTGGCATCCTCAAGGCGCTCCTTACGGACGAGCCACCAAGGCGACTCGGGAGCGAAGAAGATGCCGGTCATGAGTGGAATGGGCCACATCCATTGCAGCGCAAAAGGGATGCGGTAGCCCCATTCGTCGGTTCGTTCGACCATGGCACGGAGAACACCACTGGCGATCAGTTGGCCCATGACCCAGCAGAGGTTCACATAGGTGGTCTGGAAAGACAGATGTTAGCTTGAGTAACCTTCGCAAACTGGAGAGTAAACATACCAAGTAAGCTCGCAGATGAGTGGGGCAAACTTCAGAAGCATAAGTGACGGTGATAGTCTGGAAGATACCCCACGGCACACCAATAAGAATTTCTCCCACCAGAAGCTGAGGCAGCGACTGCGCAAAGAAGATGATGAAAACGAACGCCGTGACGCCGAGTAGCCCACCGATCATGGTCTTGCGGTAGCCGAACCGCTCCGCAATGATACCGTTGATGAACAGGCCCGAGATCTCGCCGACCAGCGCGCCGTTGCTGAGGCCGGACTGCCAGGCCGAGGTGAGCTGGTACGTGCCGTCGGGCTGGAGCTCGCCGAACTTCTTCTGGAAGACGGGGTACGCGTAGAGGTTGTTGAGCAGGGTCTTGTCGAAGCCCTCCATGACGACGCAGGTGCTGAAGAAGATGGACCACGCGACGGCCTTGGGGTACAGCTTGATAGACTGCAGGAGGCCCATGTTGTGCTCGGCCTCGGTCGCGGCGGCGGCTTCGGAGGCGACTCCGGCCATGTTGGCGCCGCCGCCCATCGAGGCCGGGGGCTTGAGCTCGGCATCGACGGCCTTGGGCGCGGAGGAGGTGAAGCCGACCATTGTGTCAAGTTTGGTGCAAAGATGTTCGCGCTGGGCGAGGTAGAAGTGAAGAAAGATCCGGGCTCGATCTACTGGAGAGTCGAGCTGGTTGGTATGAATGCGATGGCAAGCTGGATGTATTCGAGCTTGCTCTGCTTCGATCGCGATGAAGCTAATTCAGCTGGCTGTATCAAGTCGTCGTTTGAGTTGGGACACCCGGTCGTCTTATATCCTCCTGGAATGTAAACCAACCTGCTGCCCGCTGCCAAGGGATGATGGTGATGCTCCCTTCAGGAGGCGACCGGGTTGGTGTTGGAGGTTTTGCGGCCTCTCACTGGCTCGCTCAAATTCATTCGAAGGTGGCGTGGAAGCTGGAGAGGATGTTGACCTCATGGGCCACTTGTGTCTTAAGTTGTTCAATGCAAAAGAAGAAGAAACCCGTCCGGCAGCCCTGCCTGGCACCCTAACCCACGCAAGAGTCCCCGGGCACTAGGACGACGCAACTCCACTTTCTCCACGACCCATTGGCTCGCGCGGGGAAGAAGACGGATGGGCTGGTCTGGGGTTCCGTGTGCTGTAGTATGGGTTGAGCAGGACGGGAAAGACTCGCCACTTCGAGAAAGGGATGTCGTCTGTCGATCCACTGGTGTTAGAAGGAAAGGAAAAAATCCCAAGAAAATGGTTGCTCGTACAATGGGGCGCGCCAGCAAACCCACTGGAGAAAGGCGAGACATGCATCACAGTTCTGGACTCCACGACCGTGTCGCCGGCGACACCGCGGGCATCCCTGCGCCATGTGGCGTGCCTGGCGCTGCTTTTGGCCTGGGAGCTTTTCCTCGCCGGGTAAGGCCTCTGAGGCTAGAAGACGCGAACCATGTCAACCGTGTCTCTCCCCAATCACGGCTGAGAGAATGTTCGGTGCTTCCACCCACCGGCTATTGGCGCGAGAGTTTCTGCGAGATTTCGGTTCCCGGATTGGCCAATTGGGGGTTTTCGCCTGACGTCGCTGAAACTAGGGCCCCCTGCGTCCTTTGCTGGTTGGCTGGGTTTAGATGGGACGATGCTTGTGGGTTCTCTGGGGTCGAACTGTTGCAGCAGCTGTTGGTTGGTGCCGCCGGTTTTTTTCCTGGCAGCTCCCCTCCCCTTTCCTGTAACCTGTTTATTCGTCCAAGGCGTTGAGATCTGACAGATCGACCGGCCTACTTTGTTTTTGGGGGCCGGCTTCTTTTCTTAGTTCGTACGTTGATGCAGGTGCCTGTCATCACGATTAACCCAAGACATCTGTGCCCCCTGTGAGGTATCGAGTATCTCCGCAGCTACATCGAGGAATATGCAGAAACAAACAGATTTGGCCCGAACAATTCAAGCGATTGGTCGGTACGGATAGGCAGGCGCGACGTTGAGAGTTCAATAGCGGTTGGGGCTGGCGAGCTTGAGTGCCGTCCTCCGACGCAAGCCCCAGACTGTTGAAGTTCCATGTCGTTGAAAGTTTAAAGAAGCCTCCGGTAAGTCACGAGGGGTAGATCACTGTTCAGACACGACTCGGTCGCACCGATAAGATGTTATTGCGCTGGGCATCATCGTGGGATTGCCTTGGACATCACTGCTTTTCTTTCCCCACGAGGCCTCCCCCCCTTAATCTAGGTCTGATCGGGGAGACTTGCTCGAGAATGAAGCAAGGCAGAAGTTTGTGATACCAGATAGAACTCCCCCTTCCCACCGGTTATGTGCGCCCGTCTCGTCGTCATTCATGTTTGCTGCAGCATCTCTCTTCCCCGCACTCGGCCTTGGTCCTCCGCGCCCAGGCTAGCCAACCCCGCGCCGGTGCCAAGCTTCGGTTCCGTTCATCGTCTCCTTGCTAGCCCCGGCCATGTCTTTGGTGTTTGCCGCCGCCAAGTGGGCAGTCGTTCGTGTTTGTGCCTGTGGTAGCGCATAAGCTGTTGCTGGCTCCAAGTCATATGACACGATGTTTGTCGACGAATCGCGCCATGGGCGGTTGGTATCGTTGTTGTATGATAGAGTCAGTGACAGGCATGCCTCAAGGGCACGAAGTCGACTGCCGGGCCTTCTCGAAGCGTTACACCTAACTGGCTACAGAATCTCTCTGAAAACTTCCGAGACCCACGTGCCGTCCGCCGTGGATTCTGCGCCTCCGCTTCGGAGGTGACCACCTGGTGGAGGCGGTCTCGGGAACCGGCTTTAGACCGGCTGATCGACGAGCATGGAAGGCAAGCCACACCCTCGGATCTGGTCTGCGTCAAATTAAAACGCTTAGTCATTGATGGCGTTGAGTCTGCTCGCCAATTGTTATCGCAAGATGGTTCTTCCGCCGGGGGAGACGATGACGGCCCTGGGCTCAACAACCATTCAACCAAGCCGGCGACCGGTTGTTAATCAGAAGTCTGATTTTGTGAGCTCAAATGTGATTCGTGGAGCAGTGATCTCGAGGACACCCCAAATGCATCGGTGATCTTGATCAGATCGTTGCTTCGTACAACGTAAGCACTCAAAATGGAAAACGAATCGCCCATCAGCTTGCCAACCGCATAATGCAAGACATGTCAACCAATGGATGACCAATTTTTTCGCGTGCTGCTGACTATCCTACATGTTCATCCAACGCTTGTCAGGCTCAAATCCTCAGATTTCTTGGACGAACAGGGGGAGGGTCTTTAGCACATTTGGTTGAGTCAGGTTGCGTACATGAGATGAATATGTTTACTCGCTCTGCGAAGACATTGCAGAAAACGCCATAGTATTGCCTCCAGCTTTCCTATCATGTTTGTCGCGTGGAAATGGAAAAGACTCAAATGGGTACTCTCGAATATTGTTCCCTTCGTATTCGGATTCACTCAGCCGGTCAAGGGCGCACTCCTAATTCCGAGGCTGTTCCCACTTCAGCAGGTCGAGAAAACCGGGTCCAGAGTCAGTGACCGAAAGCTCGACGAGCACAATTGAGCAATCTCTCGGGCTGTTTTTGAGAGAACCATTCGAAGGATTGTGTGAGGTTGCCTCGCGTTTACGACGCCGGACCTTAGAGCAGTCGCAACGATGGATTTCATCATTTCCAATATCCACTTTCCTTCCGTTTTTGAGAAATAAGCCAATCACATGTAGCTAGATGAGGGTCACAATGCTGCGCTGCTATGATTTGAGAGCGCATTCGTATTCGGATACAGCGCTCATGGCTGGCTTCCTTATCGTTATCACGTATTCGTTTCGCCTACTTGGCTGTTAATCATCGATGCTATTGTCTGTTGAAAGGAGAGTGAGGTGCTATCGAAGCAGTTATAAAAGAAAACAACTATCTCTCCAAGATGCTTGAGCATGATCTGATACACTAACCCTCAGAATCGCGTTGATCACTCTGCCGACTCCTTAGACTTTCTACATTTCTTTTTTCCAACGCCAACTCCATTCTGCTTCAATATGGTGGAACGATCAAAACTGGGCCAAGTGCTTCTTGCTAGAGATGCTACTTTTGAGCAGATCCTTCACAAGGGAACGTCGAAAGGCAACGTTAGCATGTCAGCAATGTTGAAAAAAAGACCACGAAGCTCAGAAGGCTGCGACGGAAGACTACTTCAGGCATTGGGACAACAAGCTCAACGCTAAGAAAGAGACGAAACAGGATAGAGAGGTAAGTTGAACAAGTCAACCGCCGTGCGGGATTTTCCCTCTGACCCGCTTCTCGCCAGGCCCGAGCCGCAGAGTATGATTCACTCACGAGGCAGTAAGTCGATGCCGTAACTCTTCTCGATATTCGGACAAATGCTGAACATCAAACCATCAGATATTATAACCTGGCGAGTGATTTCTACGAGTATGGCTTTGGCCAAAGCTTTCACTTCTGCAGACCTGCCATTGCCGAAAGCTTCAAACAGGGCATCGCCAGACATGAGCACTATCTCGCCCACATGATCAACATCAAGAAGGGGATGAAGGTCCTGGACGTTGGCTGCGGTGTGGGTGGCCCTGCCCGCGAAATTGCCAAGTTCACGGGCGCATACATCACTGGACTCAACATCAATGAGTACCAGGTGGAGAGGGCCGCCAGGTATACAAAGACAGAGCGTATGGATAAGAACGTGCAATTCGTCCAGGCCGACTTCATGGTAAATTCAACCATGTTCAAGAAGATCTTCCACGCGACTTCTCTAATGCCAATGATCTAGAACATCCCCTTCGAGGACAACACTTTCGACGCCGTCTATGCCATCGAAGCCACGGTCCACGCCCCATCTCTCCAAGCCGTCTACTCAGAAATCCACCGCGTTCTCAAACCCGGAGGCGTTTTCGGCGTCTACGAATGGGTCATGACCGAGGCCTACGACAACGATAACCTCTCCCACCGCAAGACGCGTATCGATATCGAGCAGGGCAACGGCATCGCCAACATGGTGAAGGCGTCCGAGGCCCTGCGCGCCTTCGAGGCCGCTGGCTTCGAGATTCTTGAGAACGAGGATATGGCGGATAGGCCGGATCCAAGCCCGTGGTACTGGCCCCTCGACGCCGGAAGCTGGCGGCACGCACAGACAATGGGAGATCTGCTGTACACCTTCCGCATGACGGGACTAGGAAGGATGGCGACGCACGGGTTTTTGAGTGTCATGGAGATGTTGAGATTTGCGCCGCCTGGGATGACGAAGACGTCAGACAGTTTGATCCGCGCGGCTGATGCGTTGGTTTTTGGTGGGAGAGAGAAGATCTTGTCGCCGATGTATCTGATGGTTGGGCGGAAGTCAGACAAGACGGAGTGACAACATTCACCCATACACATTCTGAGAACACAATCAGGAAAGAGGATAGATAATGCAAGCAGCCCTAACAATACATCCATGACTCAAACAATCTTGCCCCTCCGCCTCCTGGTTGTCGGCCAGAAGTCCATGAGGTCCACACAAAACCATCACCACAACTTCAGCAACGAGCCAAAAAGACTCCAATCCAACCATAGAAGCAAAAGATTGGACGAACAGGGAATCGAACCCTGGACCACTCACATGCTAAGCGAGTATTATACCACTAAACCATTCGCCCACCGGTTGATTTCGCCCGGACTTGAACCGGAGACCTTCAGTGGAACACGGGGAACCGTCGAGGTGACGATCCAGAATGTTAGACTGACGTGATAACCAACTACACCACGAAACCATCTGGGATTGTTGAGGAGTTCTATCCCCGGCGGGTTCATGATGCGAGCCCTTGGTGCAGTCTGTGGATCTCGTGAATTAGAAGCTCCGGTTGGACGCCTTCATTGGGGCTAACGGAACCACGCCCCGTTTGGAGGTCCACAATCCCTGCACAAGCAAGGGTTCAAGGGTTCAGGTCCACTGAAGCAACATTCAAATCTTCAGAATGTGGAATGGTGGATTTGAGGCCGATGAGAGACGTTAGGATCCCCGGTTGTTTCGGTGCCGAATGATCACGTTTTAGCACAGAGGTAACACATGCAGATGAACAGTGTATGTCTATAAGCTGGATTTTCTACGAAACCCCTCTCAAAACGTTTGTCCAAGTACTAATGCCACTTTCATTGTATTTGCTGAGGCTGGCAAGCCCTTTGATTAGGCACTGGATTCATGTATGCCTTCGTTGGTGTATAATTCTGCCTTCCTCAACTAAGGCATGCTGGCTCCGTCAAATCAACTCCATCACTCACTGAAGATTGAAAAGGGTATTCCAGTCATCTGTGGCCGGGGCTGTTCTTGGGTTTAAATGCAGAAAACACGCCAAAGAACCTCAACCTCAAACTCAAGACCGCAACAATAACTAGTGTGACCAAAAGAAAGTTGACCGTAAAACTGCCTTACTCAGTCTATTCTCTACTGATTCGACGTCCTTCTACTACATTGCCATGGCCCACGTTATTGAGAATTTCTTTGCGATGGTCTCGGTTAGAGGGTCGTTGAGAGACGTGTAATACGAAACTCCAGTAGCACTGGGCCATCATGATAGTAAGTTAAAGTTCGTTTGACATTCAATATCTCACCATAACACTCTGATTTGACAAGGGATAGAAGTTCATAGTGCTGAATCATATACCAAATCGTCTGATGGATCAATCATTGTTGCCTTCAACATTCAAGCAACCCATTCTATTGCTTCGAATGTGATACAGGAATCATCAAATCCTAAGGAAATGCGTGCTAACGGGCGAGATACACAAGTGACGGGAATAATGTCGATGGTGATCAACAGATGTGGACGGCAATTTACAGGCTGATGAATCATTTCGACCCTGACGATTCGAGAAAGATGTGCTTCACAAGTGTCGCTTATAAAATAGCATAAGATCGGAAGATCCCCTAAAACAGCTTTTCATAAGACCCCCCTTTGAAGATCCCTCCTTCAAATACATAATACACCAGTATGATATGTTACATCAACTCCACGAATGGGTTTCCGGCCTTCTGCGTGACTATATCATCCGATTCCCTGTTGAAGGCAGGGTCAGTCCAGTGTTCAAACCCACCAAGCTCAAGACCTTTGTCTTACCCTTTCATTTCTTTTCGTCGGCCTTTGGTGCCGCTGATTTGTCCACGATCGTGACATTCAAGTGCAGTTGATCCTTCAACGCTATACTTGATACCGTGATGTGGTAGTTCAGAGTACCGGGATATGTGTAGCCAACAGCGGGATCGTTGGATGGGAACATCCAAGCCGAATTTGTGGTGCCGTCGTTGTACTTCGTCTTGTAGTGTGACTGGATGGGTTTGAAAAACCCTCTTTCAGGCGACTCGATACCGACGCAAAATGACTGTAGTGCCTCCATATCCTGCCAACAAAGTGCGACATCATCTTGCCCACTCTTGCCGAAATAGCACCCCTTGTTCCATGACATGAGTTGTTTGCCATCTCTCATCTCGAGCGTACTGCTGGTGATATCTTCTCTCATCTTGACATCTGGTGCGGTCGGGTATGTGTGTTCGAGTAGTGTAAAGTTTACCGACGCGAGATTCGCGAAGGTGATTGAATGATCCGGGTTGATCATCTTGACGCCTGGCGGATAGTAATGCATGAGGTGACAGAGGGAGGGTTTTTCGACTACGAAAGGGTTTTATGGAGGCGTCATCTCAGCACGTCTTCGCTCGGTTCTCTTGGCGAAAAAACGAATTCAAAAAATTGTCTGGGGAAATTCCTCGTGAACAAGGCAGAGACATGCAGCCGACTTTGTTGGCTTTCGAGGCGCCTTCACGGAGCTGGTTCTCCGCCCGAAATTGGAATTGCTTAGTGTAGAAGACCGCTTCCGGTGGAGCCAGACCCCTAGCTGCGGTCGGTGACGTTCGTGTGGCTTGTCCTTGCGTTGTTCTCGGTGGCTCGATTCATGCTGGATGCGAGAACCCGAATGCCCGATGCGGCCATAATGTCTTGGTTGTCCGGATGCAGTCCGGCAATTCTTCATGCTGAATGAGTGGACGGGGCAGGCACGATCTAGGTAGTGGCTGCTTAGCTGTGGCTCATTGGAATGTTGATGTCACTGATGTTGTAGATGTCTCTGTAACAAGAGTTTCACGCCGAGAAAAAAAATCTATGGAGCAAGAATTGCGGCGAGTAGTTCCATCAAGCATATTCAATTGCCTTTAATCATTCGCGTATGGTCTGTCGCTCATGATCCCTGTCAGTCAGTTGTCTAGTACCATGAGGTCGGGTTCACGACCAGCAAAATGCTTTCTTTCAGGGACTGAGACATCATAATGGGCTTTTCCGCCTCTGGCAATTTCTTAGAAGAACAACACCGCCACGAGAAGTCTCGAATACGGACGGACGGTGACTTGGTCTTGGTCACAGGTGCACATTTAAGCTCAGTGATGTAACACTAGACGTTATTTCCATAGGATCGGATCACCTTCTGTCTAGTGTGCTCGGGATCGTCTTCACTCAGCTCTAGTCACGAGGAAAAGGTATGCATAAGGCTTGGAAAACTACAGACATCCGCTGAAGAGGCACGCAAAAACGCGTTTACAAGCACAAATAAGTTCAAGGGGAATTATGATGCTTCATTATGATAAGCAGTAATTATTTGTCTACGCTGAACTTGGTATCCGTATTCCGCCCAATACACTTACCATGGGAATATCAGGTCTCCAGACATGTCCCAAGCTCCGATAGTAAGTCCTCGGCGGTAATGTCAATACCACCAGCCATCTTGTCTTCGATACCGAAGGCCAGGAAAAGAGTGTCGTCCATGTATCCATGATACCTTTGTCCCTTCGTCTTCCAGCTCATCGACGTTACATAAAACATGTCAGACGCCCCAGTGTCCTTCTTCTCCCGACCGTGTATCCATATGGGTTTCTTCGAGACAGCAAAGACTTCGAAGGGCGCTTTTTGCCGGAAGACCATGACGTACGGTTCATACTCGCTGTGGAAGTGATAGAAAGTCTTGTGCTGGAAGATCGTGAAGATGAATGTGTTGTCGCTGGTAGGTTTGCAGTTTACGTCCATCCGTTTGCAGAACGTAATGCTCAGGGAGTTGGTCGCCTGATGAATGGACTCCAAGTCCGGCGGCAGCTTCGGCATGTATCTCTCCAAACATGCCTCATCTCCGGGGGCTAGAAGCGCCAGGTCCGGCCCCACAGAGCCGTCGAGGTTGAGCTTCGAGAACACTCTCTTTGGCGCCACGTCGTGGTGCACGTACACGGCACCATCCTCATCCCAGAATGGGAACCAATTCTTTTCCATGGTCCCCCAAGGCGGTGGGCGCTGTAGCTCAGTGCCAGTGCTGAAGCCCTGATCCAAAGACATCTGGAACCCCCAGTTGCCCAGCGTTCGGAAATCTTGCATGAATTGTCCGAAGCAGCAGTATAGCGAGTTGGAGCCAAAGGTGATGAATGGTGCCTTCGGACCATGGAAGACACGAGCATCGTGAGGCCCAATGTTCATGGCGATGTAGGCCAGTTTGGGGGGACATTTATCATCACCACTATTGGTGGCAGCGATTGGAAGCGTCGTTGGTGCCTCCACGCAGGAGAGGCCTTCCATGCTGAAGAAAGCATTGCAGACCAGCTCGAAATGTTCTGCTGTCTTGTCATCGTGCATCTTACGCCTCTGCGCGACAATGATGTATGTGTTGTCGAGAGTAGGATGGGGCAAGATGTTGGGATTCATGGCATCTTCGTCGCCGAAGTGTATGGGGAAGAACCTCTTGTCGAAGGTAGATATTGAGAAGACCTCATGATGTGTCGACTCCGTGGCAATCGGGATAGAATCCGAAGGCGGTGTCGGTGGTAGGACGGTGGGAGGGACCGCGATGGGGGGCTCTGTGTCCTCCGGAGCGGGTGAATGCGCGGCAGCCGATGGGGCCGGCCGGGAGTGAGGTTTGAGCTCATCGGCTTGCCTCCAACTCGGCGCAAAGATGTGATCGAACCAGGTATTAAAACCTGATGAAGAGTCTCTAAAGTCGAGACATCGAATGCCAATGTAGACAAGGAAGAGAAAAGGCCCAACAATGAGGACGACACGCTTGAAGTCGCGAGCTAGCATCGCGAGGGGCTGTCCGCTCACGCCGAGGGTCGGATGCTCATTTGGCTGTGACTTGCAGCATTCGGGGTGCTCGGGTTGCAGCGCGTCAATTGCAATCGAGTAGCTTCTTGTTGCTGATTCTAGTTCTTCGACTCAGGCTTGACTGCGTGGTACGTACGGAGAAGAAGGTTTCCGGGTTTACGGCACAAGTGTTGCTGTGTCTCTCCACAATGTTTGTTGGGTCCCAGTTTCTTCCCCGCGGTTCATGATTGCATCGCAGAACAAGAGCTCCAAG